TAAATATTACTTGAAAGGTAGCACTTGTTTTCAAACCCGGTTCTATCATCATAACTTAAATCGACAATTAAATCAACAATTGACCAATCACATTGACCAATTCAACTAATTGGCCAATGCGATTAGTAAATTCCGTCGAGTTAATCGTCGATTAAATTTAAACTATGATGATGGAACCGAGCATATATATGCAAAATATCCACATGTACACACGCACATGCTCGAGATTCTGCAAGATCACGCGCACGGAGAAAAACGTTTCGCTGTCACAGCAAATCATTCGTTACTATAGTGACAGCAAGAAGATTCGCGACACGGGGAAAATAATTTTGCCGTAGTAGCAAAACGCGGACAGCGATAAAATTTAGTTGGCATAATTAGCAACTGACACTCTTAACAAATTTCTTTACTGTCATCATTATAGCAACAAAGATGCTGTGTCAGCAAACAATCCCCGCTCGACCTCACCTGCAAACTCATGAGATCCTCGGTTGCACGAGATCCCGAAGCACACGAGTCGCAGCGCGCGCGAAGGAACTTTCCGGGGCTAAGCTCTCGCACACGCGAGACTTTTCCGCGACGAATAGGCGGGTATCGTCCGCTCCCCCACGCGATCGACTTTATGCCCCGTTATGGCTCTGACCCTCGCGCCGCACTCCGCTTACTACCACGAGTCGTCGATCGGGTTAATCTCAAGGTCAAGCGATCCTCCCGGAGGAATCTGCACCTGCGGTGTGCCGGGCCGCGTATCGAACGCTCGCTAGAAAGTGCCGATAAATTTGCACCTGACTTAAGGAGAAGGAAGACGATTACATCGTTTCGCCCAAGGTACGGTCTTGAGCGACCGTCCGCAGGAAACGAGGGGATATATCATCATCCGTGTGGGATTGCCCGCGGTACGTTCACCAAGGTGCTCCGCTCGTTTACTCGCCTCTTCTTGCCGATCATCGCCGGCAGGAAGCACGCGGCTTTTCCACGCTGCAGGTTCCGATCGAGTCCCCTTTCTTCGCCGTCGTAGACCGTCTTCCGTCGATGGGAACCTCGCGGGAGATTTCGCACCGTTCGCGTTCGCTGTTCGGTGCTCAGGAGCGCCGGCCGGAATGATAACCGTTCGCCGGCGCTTTTTGCGCTAGAACGCGCTGAATCGGCGGATATCGCTTCCCGGCGCGAATGTTAGCTCCGACGAGTGCTGGCAAGCAATCCGTCGTGCGAAGCGGATCGCTCGTTTCCCAAACGCGAGCGACGGGGCCGCGTAATGAGATTTGTCGGGGGCGCTCGACGCGAGATTCTCCGGATATCGCACGACGGGTAATACGGTCGTCTCGGGTGCAAATTATTCGATTAAAACTCGAATATTTTTCAAAGGGGAGAATAATTTGAGTGTCAAGAGGCTCATAATGATTTACAATCGAGAGGAACAGTTTTTTCGTCACACACGCGGAAAAAATTAGTCCTAGATCAATAAGTATTCTCACGTATAAGCAAGAATATTACAACCCTCTTAGAAAATGTTCAGCTTTGATTTGATTGAATTTATATTGATGCAAATATCACTCGCTTACTTGCGTTTAATTCAAGGCTGAAAACTTACCGAGAACACTGTAATATTCTTGCTTATACCTGTATACTCTTCTGGACTCTGACGTCTGATGCAAATTAGACGGGACGATAACACGCGTTATCCAATATCGATAAATTGTCGACGGGGGTAGTTAATATCGTTAAATCGTTACTTCATCTCCGAGCGAAGGGATTAATTCCAAATTAGAGACTTAACTCGGATCTCGCGACTTAGATCGGGATCGTCGCGTCGATCTTTCGTGATAATTAATTCTCCCGCGGCTCGCCTGCGATAATTGCATATTAATAATCGCGGGACGCGCGGCCTCTTTTTCCCCTGGCGTGAACTGGTTTCAGAAGCGGAGAAACAGCTTCTTCGCGGATCTCTTCCGCTTCGGCGGGACCGCCGGGCTTTTTAACGGACGGGTCTTCCGTCAGTTTGCGAAATTGCGCGATTCAGAAATCGTGAATTAATTATATAGAATTTAACGAAGGCAAATTTTAATTGCGCGACCCAATTAACGACACTTGCGAAACAAGCGTTACGTTACCACGGTGTTCTCGTGATCGCTCCGATGATCCGATGTGCGCTACGACGTAAGCGTTCTCACCGTTTCAGACGGCCGGAGAACGTTGCTCCGGGCATCCGCGTTTTCATTTCGCGGCGATTATTGCCGGCGTGGCCGCGACACGTCACCGCTTCCCCGATTAAAAACTTAACGATCCGAGGCGCGCAGAGTGCGACGAACTTTCCGAGAGCTCTTCCGACAGTTCCGATTTCCCAACGCGGCCGATCGGCAGCGCGCGGATCCGCCCATCGATTTCTAAACGCTATTTTATTATCGGTCTCCTCAGCGGATCATTGGGCCCGATCCGAGCTGCGATCCGCGGATTGCGTCCGAACGCGCCCGAGTTGCCCGAGTTGGCCGAGTGCTGAAATTCACTTTCTAGGTCGTAAAATCGAGCGGTCGCCCATCGTAGCTGCGTTTTCTGCCGGTACGAATCGTCCCGCGTTCTCTATCCGACTTTTCCTTCCACGAAGGACTTTTTCGTCCGCCTCGCCGCGAATCTCTCCGGCGCGCGCCACGCGATCTGCGATATTCGCGATAACCATGAATCTTACGGCACGCACGGCCGCTCCCGGTGATCTAAGCTGCGACGTTCGGCAGATTACTCCGACCTGGGCACCAATCACGCAACTTTTCCTTAGGAAACGTGAAAAGTGAACATTTCCAAATGTTTTCTAATTAGAAGATTCCCACTCAAAAAAATGCTAGATTCAAGTAAACGATTACCTCAATACTCCTTAGCAAATATTTTTATTTGGATCAAGTAATAGTTACTTACCAAGTAAAATATTTACTGGATTCAAGCAAAATTTATGTAATCCGAGTTTACTTAATCCGTTTACTTAATCCAGCAAAAAATTGCTAAGTGGTGTTGGAGTAATTATTCATTCGAATCTAATGCTTTTTTCTGTACACTTTTCGTTTCATCGAGTTAATGCTAGAAAAGACTCACGATTGACTTCCAGGAGGCCATGAATCGCATCCTCTATTCTGAAAAAAGGATTTGATATTAAATACTAAGATTTGGTGAAAATTTTCTAATTTAAAATATCTGGAAATATTTCACGTTTCCGCCCTTAGGCAAACATTATATGATCGTTGCTCTGAACGTGTACTCGAGTATTCCGGATACACTGAGGAAAAAAGTACTTAAAAATTTATTTGGGATACAAGGTTTATTTTACAGAAATAAATCTCATTTCTGCGGAATAAACTTTATTCCTTTCTGTGAAAAGAATCTTACATCTCACAAATAAATTTGTAAGTACTTTTTCTCAATGTACTATGTGGATGCGAGTAAATTTGATGAACATTAGTGTCCGGATATTTAATGATATACCGATGAAAAAGCGGCAAATCACGATCTGTGCTGTGAATTTACTTTTATCGCCGTAAATGTAATTTTTTTCATATTTAACGTGAACGTCTAGGAGTCTAGTTAGTATCCGACAGCGTCGTTTGTTATTTACATATCGCACGCGACTTCTTCGGGCGAGACTTCGTGCCGCATCGATCTCGAAATCGAAACTCTTCTGCAGCTTCGAGCTGATCCCGGCCGCGCGAGAGGAATGCGTCGTGAAAGGTGGAAAAGTGCAGGGACGATCGAAAGGATCGCGACGGCCTTAATTACAGCGCTGGCGCTTTTTTTTTTACATACTCCCATGCTGGCCTTTCTTCTTTGCAAATTAGTCACGCGTTATGCCGTAATCCGCGGCGAGATTCAACGTAATTTCAGAGCGATATCGTTCCTTCAGCACTTTCTCACTATTTGCGATTTATACTGACCATTCGATGCAGCTTGGATTTTTGTCCAAGATTGAAAGTGAGATTTTACATCGCAGCGTGACTCGAGTTTGCGCGATCTCGATACGGATGGACTCGCGCGTGTGATTGTAATTCTGCGTAAACGAGAGGATTGCGACAGCCCGCGACTGCAAGTGAATTGTACTTTGTACATACCGGTCTGTTGGAATTCTACAGTCCGACCTGCGAAGGTAACAAGACCGACGGCATGTTTCTTGTTATTGATACGGAGCTTCGCGAATACAGAGGAAGAAACATGCAACTGAGACAATTTCGTAAATCATCGAGGTATCTCGGAAGCATCTCTCTCGTATTTATACAAGCTCTCATCTAATTGGAATTCCATTAGACGTTCTCCTCGTCGTTTCTCTTCGCAAATTGGCCTGTAGATTGCGGTCGATTTTGCCTAGTTCTCAATGACTTTCCGGCTCGCTCAGGCACGCATTTAAATCTAGAATTATCTAGTACGATGTCTAGCGCGTTAGAGTTAATTTATCTCATTTATCTAACTTAATTAAGGCTCTTCGTACATCGATCCGATCGGATCGTATTCTTCAGGATCGAAGGACGATACGTCCTAGAAGTTAGGCACATGTTTCCCCAAGGCACCGCGCTCCGATTGTTTTCCGAGTTTTTTCACGGCGGATCGCATCCGAGCTCCTTCGTCGGACTCGACGAATTCGTCTCGAAGTCCGTGATCGTTAAAAGCTAGCATGTAGAAAACGATGATCCGACTACGCTCGTCGTCTTGAGCAAATGAATGATTCTCCTCGCCGATCTCTCGAGTCAGATCTACCTTCATTAATAGATCTCGCTCTCGCTTTTTCGTCTTCTCAAATTCCGTCGGCATCTCTTTGACGCTCTCCCCCTCTCTCTCTCTCTCTCTCTTTCTCTCGGCTCGCGGGAAGGAATTTCTACGCAGAATGATTTATCTCGTGCACTAATAGTTTCGGATTAATCTAGGATCGCCACGAGTGATAGCAGTTCTTCGTGGCGGTACTGTCGTCGTGGAGTCTCGTTCGCTCGGAAATTTATAACCCTCTCGAGACTTTCGCTCTCGTTCGATCCCGACGGCTCGACAACACACATCGAGTTCTCTCTCTCTCTCTCTCTCTCTTCCTCCCTCTCTCGTCTCTCTCGTCTCTTTTGCTTTCTCTCTTCCTCTCTTCCCCTCGTTCTTGGTCTCCAGCGCACTCTAACGAATCGGCGAAACGTCTCTCTCGACTGTGAACCAGTCGCATGCTGATAACGGGTTACCATGCTAATGACCGCGCGCCAGGACTCAAGTGTTGTTGCCAGGGGAGAGCGGCGGTGAGTTCGCTTCCCTCTGTTCCTCCTGGACGCTCTCCGGCCTGCTGGTCGTGCCGCTCGACCTCGAGCTGAGGTTGTCCCGGTCGCTGAAGTACGACAGGTCCCGCTTCTCCTCCAGCTGCAGCTGCTGCTTGTCGTTCCTGTAGTCGTCGGTGGCGTGACCCAGCAGACCCGGGAAGTACGATATCCCTTGTCGTTGCGACGTGATCTTACCCATGAAGCTGCGGATCTCCTCGAAATAGGACTCGTCGGCCTTCGGCAGCTGGCCGTGATACCTTGACCTCACCTCGTCTAATATCGTCGGCCCGTCGGCGTCGTGTTTCTTCAGGTGTCTGTCCAGATTGGTCTGCTGGCCGAAGCATCTCTCGCAGAGCGGACACTTGAACGGCTTCTCCTTGTTGTGGATGTTCCTCACGTGACGTTGCAGGTTGCTGGAGATGCTGAAGCTCCTCTCGCAGTATTTGCACTTGTACGGCTGTTCGCCGGTGTGCGTCCTCAGGTGTCTCGTCAGATTCGCCGATCTGGGGAAGACCTTGCCGCAGAATTTGCAAGAGTATCTGTCCTTGGGCTTAAGGCCGGCTTGCACGCTGATCGAATAGGGCGGCAGACTCGAGCCTTGCGGTTGTTGCTGCTGCGGTTGCTGCTGCGGTTGCTGTTGCTGCTGGTGCGGCTGCTGTTGCTGCTGCGACGGGTGATTCTGCGGCGGATGCTGCGACTGTTGGCCACCGATCGGGCTGACGGCCCTCGCAGTCGGTTGCGACGAGGAGGACGAGGTGGTCGACGAGGTCGTCGAGGAGAATCTGTTGGGCGGCAGCGGCACCATCGTCGGCAGCGCTCTCACTTGGATCTTTGGCAGATCGGGCACCGACGAGCTATGATGGTGTGATCGGTACATCGCCTCCAGCACCAGCGGATGCATCGCGTGATGCTGGGGGAAGAGCACCGTGTGATATGGCAAACTGCCGCCTAAACTGTTCTGATTCAGCACCTCGATCTCGTTCTGATTCTCGTCCCTGAGCCGTTCCTTCTTGTGATCGACGCGGAGATCGAGCGGCTCGCAGTCCAGCTCGTCTTGGTGATGAGGCGGCGGTGGTCTGGCCGCGGGGCTCATGTGCGGTTGCTGCTGTTGCTGGTTCGTCGGACTCGACAAGCCGCGACCGTGGCCGTGGCTGAGGTCATATGGCAGCTCCTCGACGTCCGGCACGCGGACGCTCAGAGGATAAATGCTGGCTTGCTTCGGGCTTATGTGGCCCGGCATCTTCCTCGGGCTCGAGTCCTTCTCCCGCATGGCTGGAGGATACTTGGGATCGCGCAGCAACGTCGGGGGCAGGGTGATGCTACCGAGGTATCCGCTCATCACACTGTCTCTGTCACCCTCGGCCTTGCTCCTGCTCTCTGCTCAGGATAATCTGAAACGGGAAGTTGAAACGGTGTGTTTAATTAGCCGGCAAATTTCCACGTGGTTGGATACTTTTGATTTGCTTCCTTTTTGAGAACGCATCGCGGAATGTAACACGTATAATATGTCAAGTTGAAATTCTGGTTTCTCAGATCAGACTTGGGCAAATTTCATATATATATTTGAAATAATAAGTAACAAATAAATCTATAAAAAAACATTTTTATTAAGAAGTCACCAAGCAATGATGTTCGTTTAAATAATTTGTTTAAAAGAACATATAAATAATTTATTTGTTATTCGTATTATTCGTTATTCGTTATTATTTGTTAACCGAGTTATTTGTTACTCATCATTTATTATAATAAATTGCATACGTTCGGTTGGTTGACGATTGGAAAGAGATGATATTGTTCTTTGTGTCTATTGCTTTGTATGTTTTGATGCCGTCACGCGCCGCATGACCGTGTCCATCATGTAGCGAGTCGACGACAAACCGCGGCGCTGAGCGCGTATAACAATGTTAATTATTATTTGTGTGGACTCTTAAAATATTTAATCGGACTCTTAATTGCATGAATCAACGTGTGTTTTGCAGATTGAATCGTATCTACGCGAGTATCAATGTCTGTGTTATGTTTGTTTCTACCATCATGATTTAAATTTAATCGACAATCAATTTAACGGAATTGATCAATCGCATTGATCGGTTCAGCTAATTGGCCGATGCGATTGGCCAATTTCGTTGAGTTAATCACCGATTAGATTTAAGCCGTGATGATAAAAATGGGCATTAGTGTCATGACGGAGCAACCGGCACGCTGGAATCGAGAAGTCAGGATGGAGTAAGCAGGGAGCAGAGACGCGGACAACAGTACATCATATGTTTCCAGGTGTGTGAAATCATTTATTATATAATAGATATATAATTATTTATTATATAAGAGATGTCCGATTTTTTTTAATGGCCTTACCGTGAATAAGGTGATACTCGAGTTGAAATTTAGGTCGGCATTTATGTCTCGTTATTATTTAAATTATTAGTTTGATAATTATAGCTAAAATTTGCAGAGTTAATGTAGAAGCAAAATTTCGACATTCGGGGACACACTTATATCCTTTCGAGATTTATACGTATCAATCAGGCAGTTATATTTTAAGCGCGCGATAATACAATCGCGCTCGCCTGATATTTCCATATTGTCGTAATGAATCAACAGGTTGATTTAAATTCAATGTTTTATTCACGCGTCCGATGTATATCTGGACATTATATCGCATATTAAAATAGTAATGAGTACAGCTCGATAAACAGTTACGTTCATACGCAATATCTTATAGTTATGCAACAGTAAAATGTTGCGGGATTGAGAGAGAAGGTAACAACTACTGAAGAAAAGTTTGTCATTGTGCAACGCGGACATACGGTGTTAAACAAACTTTAAGGTCACGCCCCGATTACGACAGCCGGAACGTCACTCAGAAAGTAATTGAATATACCGATCCGTAGCATTGTCAGATAGACACAACCGATTATTAGAGATATGTATCGTAACATCGGCCGCCAGTTGACGAGCGAGCCTCGCCGCGTGTTTCATAAATCAAAAACCCATCGTAGTTGACTTTCTTTTTAGCGATAGAACCAGATTACGACGAGACGAGAAGAATAGAAGATCGTACTATGGTCGCTAGAAAACGACGCGATTTGGAAACATTAGTGAAAGGATCTCTCTTCTCTCTTTCTATCTATCTTTCTCGATCGACATCATCGTGAATCGTTGTCGGTCGTAGCACGAAAAAGGCAGAGAAAGAGAGAGGAAGAGAAAGAGAGAGAGAAAGAGAGAGAGAGAGAGAGGGAGAGTGAGTGAAAAAGGGAGAAAGGCAAAGAGAGGGAACGCAACGGGACTCGATAAATCAAGGCATCAATCGCGTTGTGATAAATGTGTCTTCGGCCCGAGGCTACGGTAAAGATTTTAGGAGGCGAAGAAATCGATCTCCCGAGCAAATCGAACTGCTCGCATTTTTATAACTTGACGTCAGACACGTCTTAGATAAAAGAAAAAGTATAGATTAAGTAGGAACACCTGCCAGATACGTAAGATGTGTCTATCGGATTTTTGTGATCGCGCGATTATGGATCATTGAGTCGGGTCTCTCTCGTTTTATTTCCCGTTTCTAAATGCTTCTCCATTTCACTCCGGCACGTGCTCCGGAATCCGTAGCGCCCGCTAATTGACAGAATTTTATTAATGGCTCGCGAATCTACGCGCAATTAATTCTGCTCGGCGTTTTTTCGGCGCGCTCGTCAGCGAACGGAATACCGTAATCTCTTCCGCGGTGTAACGAAGCAACGATATCTGCCACGATCCGAAAGGAATAACGTGGTCTGATTGTTCTATTTCTCCGACTGGCGTATGAAATGGCGTCAGAATTTTATCCATTAGCTAACGCTTTCGTGTAGTGGAAAATGAATGAAATGTTAGGCAGAACGTGATGGGTACGATATTGAAAAGTTTCGAAACAGTAGACGCGCGTGTAACATTCCGTATTATTTATTTTTATCACTGGAATATGTGGGTGAGATTTAAAACATACGCACAATGATAGTAGAACCCAAATCAAAATTTTGATGCTATTCTAACACTCTTAAGTTTGCGCCTATTTAGACGGCCTATAGATCAATAAAAACTTACTTTGACGATACTGACACTTTTTAACTTGAATCTTCAATTCTACGGATTGAATTTTAATACTACCTTCAACAATATATTTTAATGACGAAAACGGGAATTTAAGACATCAGGGTTAAAAGTTTATCATAGGACCAAAATTTTGACTCGGGAATGCGTCAAATTATATGCCCAAATTTTATCTCTTCTTAATTTCGATTGAGAATCAAATAGGTACTTTCCTCGTATTCTTATCTTACGATAGTTTAGTGCATTTCAGCGGAGGCTGTTTGATTTGCGAACAATGAAAAATAGCGATTTTTGCTTGTCATATGCCTCGGTCATTGTTACGCGTCGATTCTTCGATTGGAAATGACGCACCTACGACCCACGACATGCGGCGTCGAGATCACTGCTTTCCGCGTGTTCTTGCGAGCGTTGATGTCTCTATCCGCGCATGGCGGGAAGGCGGGTATATTTTATCTTCAATCGCCACGTGCTACCGAGCTAAACGTACAAACGCGGGAGACTTTATTGCGTATCGCAGACATATCTCGCCGCGATTACGCATCTGTTCGGTTTACCGAGAGAGTGTTAACAGAAATGTAAAACATAATATAAGGGGTAAAATTACGATCTTTCATATACACGGTGCTTGCTAAAATAAAGCAATCCGATATATTAATTAACAGAAGCATGCATATAAATATCATATATAATCGAGATAATTGTTGCAAAATTACGTTTTATATTATTTTCACGATTTCCGTTATATCGAGTGCCTATGAATAATAAAGTTACCAAGAGCTCAGATTACAATAAAGCATTAGTAATATTTTATTAAACATACTTTAATCTTATTGAAATAATTATAATTTCCAGAAATATAAAATCCTCGAAATAATGTGTAATGATCTTTGATACGCAAGCGCGATGTAAAGGAGTCTCATGTGACAGGCATAATTAATGCAACGATTAATTTTATGATATTTATCATCGTTGCCGATCGACGAGCCTGCTCGTGCGCATGCTCGCATTTGTACTGATCCAGTTACGAACCAGAAACTAATCCGCTCCTCTCGGTTGTCCACTCCGGCGAAAGAGAAATCCGCTCGCTACGTTGTCAGCACGGCCGGGAAGGTGAGGCGGAAAAAGAGCAGCGACGCGCGCGGCGTAAAAGGAGCGCACGGGCGCAAAAAACCTCGCTCGTCTGACGATAATAGTGAAAAGCGTTAATTATGGGCGTCGAGAAGGATGCCTTGCGACTTAACCGGGCGAAGTCGAAAGTGTACGCATATACGCGGCGCGATGCGGGAAGCCGCTGTCGATTTTTCTGTATTGCGCCGCGCCGCTCGCGTTTTCGCGCGCGCGCACGTCCGAAGAAAGTGATAGTAGTAGAGCGTGTGTCGTCCGGCGAGAGATGCGGTCGATTAAGCTCAGATTTACATGTACTTTCCCTTGTTCCTCGTAATAATACTCCGCGGAGAGAGAAACTTTCGCGCGAGTCGACCGGACGCATCCTCGGGCGACGCCCCGTCGAATTCGGAGAGACGACAGTACGTCGATTTGTTTGGGATCCGTTGGCTTGACTTTTGCAAATTTTCGCGTTCAAAATAAATAGCGAAACTTTGTCTGTTTTTCTTATTTTAAGGAACTGGTTGGGCAATAATAGCAACTGTAAAGCTGATGCTACGCCATTCGGTCGTGCATCATTTTCACGTACGTTTCAAAATACAGTCATCGAATTGTTTGTTAGCTAGGTATATATATAGACCAATAAAGCAAATATTATTATTATTATTACTATTAAAATAAGAATTTGCATTAGCATCACTTGTAGATTCATCGTTTTCATTGCTGTAATATGCCAGGAAGAGTCTTAAATCGGTGGATGAGAGTTCGTGGAGTTCCAAGTTCAAAAGTCAAATGTTGTGACTCGATTCTTTCTGAAAAATGACGCGATAAATAAAAAAATAACGTATCACCAGTTGATTAATACTATTAAGGATCTTAACTTCGATGAAACGTTCTTCAATTGCTTTAATTAAATCTGATTGAAATAAAATATCGGATTCTCTCTCTCTCTCTCTCTTTCTCTCTCTTTCTTTCTCTGCCGAATGGAGTTTCTCCAAAGCGACACGAGTGAGTAATGTTCACGGAGAAACGGTAGCTTGCTACGCGGAACAGGAGGAGAAATAAGAAGAGCGAAAGAAAGGGGAGCGTGGTCGGCGAAGATTGACGTCTGTTACGTGAATCAACCCGGACTGACGTCTCTCGAGATCTCCCGAGATGTCGGCAGCCGCGATCCAGTTTTCGGTTTCTAGAAAGTCGGGATGAGCCG